CACTCGACTGAACCTTACTGCACTCTACTTATCTCTACTGGACTCTTCTGGACTCTGCTGGACTCGACTGAACCCTACTGCACTCTACTTTCTCTACTGGACTCTACTGCACTCTACTGGACTCTACTGAGCCCTACTGCACTCTACTTATCTCTACTGGACTCTTCTGGACTCTGCTGGACTCGACTGAACCCTACTGACCTACTTTCTCTACTGCTCTACTGAGCCCTACTGCACTCTACTTATCTCTACTGGACTCTACTGCACTCTACTGGACTCTACTGAGCCCTACTGCACTCTACTTATCCCTACTGGACTCTACTGCACTCTACTGGACTCTACTGGACTCGACTGAACCCTACTGCACTCTACTTATCTCTACTGGACTCTACTGAGCCCTACTGCACTCTACTTATCTCTACTGGACTCTACTGCACTCTACTAGACTCTACTGGACTCTACTGAGCCCTACTGCACTCTACTGGACTCTAGTGGTCTCTACTGCACTCTAATGGACTCGACTGGACTCTACTGAACCCTACTGCACTCTACTTATCTCTACTGGACTCTACTGAGCCCCGCTGCACTCTACTTATCTCTACTGGACCCTACTGGACTCTAGTGGTCTCTACTGCACTGTACTGGACTCTACTGGTCTCTATCTACTGGTCTCTACTGCACTCTACTGGACTCTACTGCACTCTACTGGACTCTACTGCACTCTACTGAGCCCTACTGCACTCTACTTAGCACCTACTGACACTGGACTCTACTGTCACACTCTACTGGACTCTACTGACTTGGCTAGTGGTCTCTACTGCACTCTACTGGACTCTACTGGTCTCTACTGCACTCTACTGGACTCTACTGGTCTCTACTGCACTCTACTGGACTCTACTGCACTCTACTGGACTCTACTGCACTCTACTGAGCCCTACTGCACTCTACTTAGCTCTACTGCACTCTACTGCACTCTACTGGACTCTACTGGTCTCTACTGCACTCTACTGGACTCTACTGCACTCTACTGGACTCTAGTGGTCTCTACTGCACTCTACTGGACTCTACTGGTCTCTACTGCACTCTACTGGACTCTACTGGTCTCTACTGCACTCTACTGGACTCTACTGCGCTCTACTGGACTCTACTGCACTCTACTGAGCCCTACTGCACTCTACTTATCTCTACTGGACTCTACTGCACTCTACTTATCTCTACTGGACTCTACTGAGCCCCGCTGCACTCTACTTATCTCTACTGGACCCTACTGGACTCTAGTGGTCTCTACTGCACTGTACTGGACTCTACTGGTCTGTACTGCACTCTACTGGACTCTACTGCACTCTACTGAGCCCTACTGCACTCTACTTAGCTCTACTGCACTCTACTGGACTCTACTGGTCTCTACTGAGCCCTGCTGCACTCTACTTATTTCAACTGGACTCTACTGGACTCTAGTGGTCTCTACTGCACTGTACTGGACTCTACTGCACTCTACTGAGCCCTACTGCACTCTACTTATCTCTACTGCACTCTACTGGACTCTACTGGTCTCTACTGCACTCTACTGGACTCTACTGCACTCTACTGGACTCTACTGCACTCTACTGGACTCTACTGAGCCCTACTGCACTCCACTTATCTCTACTGCACCCTACTGGACTCTACTGCACTCTACTGGACTCTACTGCACTCTACTGGACTCTACTGAGCCCTACTGCACTCCACTTATCTCTACTGCACTCTACTGAACTCTACTGCGCTCTACTGAGCCCTACTGCACTCTACTTATCTCTACTGGACTCTACTGCACTCTACTGGACTCTAGTGGTCTCTACTGCACTGTACTGGACTCTACTGGTCTGTACTGCACTCTACTGGACTCTACTGCACTCTACTGAGCCCTACTGCACTCTACTTAGCTCTACTGCACTCTACTGGACTCTACTGGTCTCTACTGAGCCCTGCTGCACTCTACTTATTTCAACTGGACTCTACTGGACTCTAGTGGTCTCTACTGCACTGTACTGGACTCTACTGCACTCTACTGAGCCCTACTGCACTCTACTTATCTCTACTGGACTCTACTGGTCTCTACTGCACTCTACTGGACTCTACTGCACTCTACTGGACTCTACTGCACTCTACTGGACTCTACTGAGCCCTACTGCACTCCACTTATCTCTACTGCACTCTACTGGACTCTACTGGACTCTACTGCACTCTACTGGACTCTACTGAGCCCTACTGCACTCCACTTATCTCTACTGCACTCTACTGAACTCTACTGCGCTCTACTGAGCCCTACTGCACTCTACTTATCTCTACTGGACTCTACTGCACTCTACTGGACTCTAGTGGTCTCTACTGCACTCTACTGGACTCGACTGAACCCTACTGCAATCTATTTATCTCTACTGGACTCTACTGAACCCTACTGCACTCTACTTATCTCTACTGGATTCTACTGAGCCCTACTGCACTCTACTTATCTCTACTGGACTCGACTGAACCCTACTGCACTCTACTTATCTCTACTGGACTCTACTGAACCCTACTGCACTCTACTTATCTCTACTGGACTCTACTGCACTCTACTGGACTCTACTGAGCCCTACTGCACTCCACTTATCTCTACTGCACTCTACTGGACTATACTGCACTCTACTGGACTCTAGTGGTCTCTACTGCACTCTACTGGACTCGACTGAACCCTACTGCAATCTATTTATCTCTACTGGACTCTACTGAACCCTACTGCACTCTACTTATCTCTACTGGATTCTACTGAGCCCTACTGCACTCTACTTATCTCTACTGGACTCGACTGAACCCTACTGCACTCTACTTATCTCTACTGGACTCTACTGAACCCTACTGCACTCCACTTATCTCTACTGCACTCTACTGGACTATACTGCACTCTACTGGACTCTAGTGGTCTCTACTGCACTCTACTTGACTCTACTGGACTCTACTGAGCCCTACTGCACTCCACTTATCTCTACTGCACTCTACTGGACTCTACTGGTCTCTACTGCACTCTACTGGACTCTACTGCACTCTAATGGACTCTACTGGACTCTACTGAGCCCAACTGCACTAACCCCAATCCTAACCCATAATAATAATAATAATAATAATAATAATATATCCATACAGACTGTATGCAGTACAGATACTGAGTACTGATAGAGTACTGATAGAGTATTGATAGAGTATTGATAGAGTATTGATAGAGTAGTGCAGTATTGATAGAGTATTTATAGAGTAGTGCAGTATTGATAGAGTATTGATAGAGTAGTGCAGTATTGATAGAGTATTGATAGAGTATTGATAGAGTAGTGCAGTATTGATAGAGTACTGATAGAGTAGTGCAGTATTGATAGAGTACTGATAGAGTAGTGCAGTATTGATAGAGTATTGATAGAGTATTGATAGAGTAGTGCAGTATTGATAGAGTATTGATAGAGTATTGATAGAGTAGTGCAGTATTGATAGAGTATTGATAGAGTAGTGCAGTATTGATAGAGTATTGATAGAGTATTGATAGAGTAGTGCAGTATTGATAGAGTACTGATAGAGTAGTGCAGTATTGATAGAGTACTGATAGAGTAGTGCAGTATTGATAGAGTATTGATAGAGTAGTGCAGTATTGATAGAGTATTGATAGAGTAGTGCAGTATTGATAGAGTATTGATAGAGTAGTGCAGTATTGATAGAGTATTGATAGAGTAGTGCAGTATTGATAGAGTATTGATAGAGTACTGATAGAGTACTGATAGAGTAGTGCGTATTGATAGAGTATTGATAGAGTATTGATAGAGTAGTGCAGTATTGATAGGTACTGATAGGTGTGCAGTATTGATAGAGTATTGATAGAGTAGTGCAGTATTGATAGAGTATTGATAGAGTAGTGCAGTATTGATAGAGTATTGATAGAGTAGTGCAGTATTGATAGAGTATTGATAGAGTAGTGCATTACTATCTGTAGTATTTTCAGCAGCAGGTTTCAGGAGGTTGAAGCTGACTGATGGTCTTAGTGTTTAAGTGTAATGAGTTGTATCAGTCAGAGGTCAAAGGTCAGACGGTGACCTCACTCTGAATACATGAACCAAATATTACTGATGACACGACACACACAGTGAGGAGGAAGAACAAACACAATACAGGAAATACATACAAACAACAAACAACAAACAATAAACAACAAACAACACACAGAGTGCTGTTTATTGTTTGTTGTTTACTTTTTGTGTTAATGTTGATAAAAACGTCTCACCTTCTCTCTTCAGCGGCATGTCGTCTCTCATCCACATAAATCCTCTTTAGGGATTTTACAAACACACACAGTGCATGCTGGGTAATGCAGTCCCTAATCCCTTCCCTGCCAGCAGACCTCTGACATACAGACGTTAGCCCCGCCCCCCTCCAGTAATCACACCACAGGATTGGATGATGCTGTCAGTCAGAGTTTGATTGACAGTTCAGTTATTGATCTGATGCCTCTAACTTCCACCCTTAGAACATTATAATGTGTGTAACATGAATCCACCATTAGAACAATATATTATATATTATATTATATATATTACCATATATATATATATATATTATTCTGCATTATATTATATAATATTTATATATATTATTATATATATTATTTATTATATTACATAATAATATATATACATTATTATGTAATATAATACATAATATTTATATATATTGTTATATAAATATATATATTATTACTGTTGTTGAACCTCCAGAGGAGCTGCAGCGCCTCCCTGAGGATCAGAGGTCAAAGTGCAGCAGGAACTCTCTTCTTTCCTTTATATCTTTATTTTACTGATTTATTCATTGTTTCACTTTATTCCTGACGCTCAGAGCAGCTCACACACGAGTTAATAAATAAAGTGTATTATTAATAATGTCACAATCTATCAATCAATAATTACAGTCTGATCAATGACAGTCAAACACTTCCAGCTGTTTGTGGCTCGGCGGCTGGAGGACGACGGGAAGTAGAATCATCAGAGTAAAGTAACTAAGTACTTTTACTGAAGTACAAATTGGAGGTACTTGTAATCCATACAAGTACATTAATCATTTATCAGTTTCACATAAAAACATTTCCTGGTTCACAGATTTCCCTTTGAATGAATTCAATATTCTGAAATATAGTTTGAATATGTGAGAACCGGGACGTTCCCCATCGGTTTGAGGAGAACCATTTGAAGCCTCCAGTTCGGTGTTTTGGTCGTCGTCGCCATGAAGGTAAGGTCACGTAAAGTGAGTTGCTCTGCTCTCATTGGCTGCTCTCCTGCTTACAGGATCTGGTATTCCAGATAAACAGTAAAATGTGTTTGTGAACAGAATCTGGATCAATATCTGATCAGAACTGTTTGACAATTTGATATAAGTCAAAATATACGTTAAACACACATAAACACACGTTACACACACGTTACACACACGTTACACACACGTTAAACACACGTAATACACACGTTAAACACACGTAATACACACGTTAAACACACGTTATACACACGTAATACATTAAACACACGTAATACACACGTTAAACACACGTAATCACACGTTAAACACACGTAATACACACACACATTAAACACACATTAAAAACACACGTTAAACACACATAAACACACATAAACACACGTTACAAACACGTAAACACACGTAAAACACACGTTAAACACACGTAATACACACGTTAAACACACGTAATACACACGTTAAAACACACGTTAAACACACGTTAAATAACTACACACGTTAAACACACATTAAGCACATGTTAAAAACAAACACATGTTAAAAACAAATTAAACACACGTTAAACACATAAACACACATTAAACACACGTTAAACACACATTACACACACGTTAAACACACATTAAACACACGTAATACACACGTTAAACACACGTAATACACACGTTAAATACACTTAACACACGTTAAAAACAAATTAAACACACGTTAAACACATAAACACACATTAAACACACATAAACACACATTAAACACACGTTAAACACACATTAAACACACGTTAAACACACATAAACACACGTTAAACACACATAAACACACATTAAACACACGTTAAACACACATTACACACACGTTAAAAACACACATTAAAACATTAAACACACGTTAAACACACATTACATTACACACACATTAAACACACATTAACACACACATTAAACACACGTTAAACACACATAAAAACACACATTAAACACACGTTAAACACACATTACACACACGTTAAACACACGTTAAACACACGTTAAACACACGTTAAACACACATTAAACACACGTTAAACACACACGTTAAAAACACACATTAAACACACACATTAAACACACATTAAACACACATTAAACACACGTTAAACACACGTTAAACACACATAAACACACTTAAACACACGTTAAACACACATAAAAACACATTAAACACACGTTAAACAGACGTTAAACACACATAAAGCACACGTAAAAACAAATTAAACACACATTAAACACACGTTAAACACACATTACACACACGTTAAACACACATTAAACACACATAAAAACACATTAAACACACGTTAAACACGTTAAACACACATTAAACACACGTTAAACACACGTTAAACACACGTTAAACAGACGTTCAACAGATGTTAAAGACACGTTAAAGACACGTTAAAGACACGTTAAGCACACGTTAAACACACGTTAAACACACGTTAAACACACGTTAAACACACGTTAAACACACGTTAAACAGACGTTAAACACACGTTAAACACACGTTAAGCACACGTTAAACACACGTTAAACACACGTTAAACACATAAACACATTAAACACACATTAAACACACGTTAAACACATGTTAAACACACATTAAACACACGTTAAACACATGTTAAACACACGTTAAACACACATTAAACACACATTACACACACTAAACACACATTAAACACACGTTAAACACACGTTAAACACACAGTTAAACAGACGTTAAAGACACTTAAAACACGTTAACACACGTTAAACACACGTTAAACACACATTAAACACACGTTAAACACACATTAAACACACATTACACACACGTTAAACACACGTTAAACACACATTAAACACACGTTAAACACACGTTAAACACACGTTCAACAGATGTTAAAGACACGTTAAAGACACGTTAAGCACACGTTAAGCACACGTTAAAGCACACGTTAAACACACGTTAAACACACGTTAAACACACGTTAAACACACATTAAACACACATTAAACACACATTAAACACACGTTAAACACACGTTAAACACACGTTAAACACACGTTAAACACACATAAACACACGTAAACAGACGTTAAACACACGTTAAACACACATTAAACAAACATTAAACACACATTAAACACACATTAAACACACATTAAACACACGTTAAACACACGTTAAACACACGTTAAGCACACGTTAAACACACATAAACACACGTTAAACACACACATTAAACACACATAAACAAACGTTAAACACACATTAAACACACATAAACACACATAAACAGACGTTAAACACACGTTAAACACACATTAAACACACGTTAAGCACACGTTAAGCACACGTTAAGCACACGTACACAGGACACAGGAGACCAACCTGATATAACAACACAATATAATGTTACTATAATGTATATATATATGATATAATGCTTTGGCTCAACAAAAAAGAAATGAACGCACACCTCGAGTTGTTGCATCAACTAATGATGTGCTGCATTGAATTCTGGGAATGTTGCTCTACGATCAAACGTGTTTAATGATCAGCTAATCAATAATTAGTAGCATAAACAAAGTCTATAAGGCTAAAACATGTTTATTTGTTCCAACTGGTTTTTAGACTTTATGAACTTTAAAGCTCAGTAATCTGAATGAACTAGAAGTGCTGTAACTATTTAAATAGTGACTGTATAGAGTGAACAGGTGGACCCAGACTGTTATTGATTACATACAATCACTGTCTGAGGAACAGATTAACATTGTCAGTGTGAGAATAAACTGTTTACTCTTACTTTAATGGAAACTGGACCAATAGTTTCTGATAAAAAGTTAATTTAAAATCAATAAGTTTACTGATTGTGGATGAAGTTTAGTTGTTGTTCACCCTCAGTTTTACCTCTCAGGTTCTCACTCTGGTTTAGACTGTTGGTGGACTATAAAAGAGTTATTCTGAATGTACCGTGGATACAGGTGAGGAACTCAGGTGTGTCGGAGGTTCAGCTGGTATGAGGACAGCCGCCATGGAGCTGTGTTACCTGCAGGCACGAACTCAGGGCACACAGTAGACACAGGAAGGGGCAGTTCCCGCTCTGTGGGGCTAAAAGAGGCGAAACATCAAACGTCTCCGGTTAAAACCGACAAACTCATTATGTGTGTGTTCTGGACTCGACGGCGCTAATCTTTCCCCGCGAAATCGTTATTTTCTATCGTTTATTTGGTGTTTCAGTCAGGCACCGATCAGGACGCCTCTCTTCCTCCCGCCTCCCCCCGAGCTGCGACCAATCAGACACGGACTCGGACCGAACGGCGCTCTGATTGGTCGGAGCTCGGGGAAGGCGGGGCTCAGCTCGGCACGCGATTGGCGGGCTTTGCCGTCGCTCACGTGGCTCCGCGGCTGTCCTATAAAAGCGCGAGGTTGCGATCCGGAGCGCGCTGAGGAGACACCAACAGCTAGCAGCTAGTTAGCAGCTAGTTAGCAGCTAGTTAGCAGCTCACACACACACACACACACACACACGCGCACAGAGAGCTCGGCGGGGGCTCGGGTTCACGTGCAGAGCGGGTTTTCGCGGGTGTTTAACGAGTTGTTTTTCTTTGGGGGGGGGTTGTTAGCTGCACGCTAGCTACTTCCTGCATGTTAGCCGGCCGTGGCTAGCTGGAGGAGCTAACTGTTTACCAGCTCCGGGGGGCGGGGTTAGAGTGAGGGGGCGGGGTTAGGGTGAGGGGGCGGGGTTGTAAACAGGTGTGTGATATAAACAGTTAAAGGTGGAGGACAACAGGTGGACTGCAGGACACAGTGAGTATTATTGATTGATTATTGATTGATTATTGATGACTCATTAATGAGGTAACTAAGTAAGATCAATAAATCTGTTTAAATATAAATATATAATATTATATAATATAATATATTTATTGTGTGGAACAAAGATCAAAGTACCATCAATGTATTGATCATTTATCAGTTAATAATTCAGGTGTGGAGGAGTCCTGTTGCTGCTGCTAGAGATTCATAATAACTAACTATAACTATAATAACTAACTATAACTATAATAACTAACTATAATAACTAACTTTAACTATAATAACTAACTATAACTATAATAACTAACCTTAACTATAATAACTAACTATAATAACTAACTATAACTATAATAACTAACTATAATAACTAACTATAATAACTAATTATAACTATAATACTAACTATAACTATAATAACTTATTATAACTAACTATAATAACTAATTATAACTATAATACTAACTATAACTATAATAACTAATTATAACTATAATACTAACTATAACTATAATAACTTATTATAACTATAATAACTAATTATAACTGTAATAACTAATTATAACTATAATAACTTATTATAACTATAATAACTAACTATAACTAAAATAACTAACTATAACTATAATAACTAACTATAATAACTAATTATAACTATAATAACTAATTATAACTATAATAACTAACTATAACTATAATAACTTATTATAACTATAATAACTAACTTTAATAATTAATTATAACTATAATAACTAATTATAACTATAATAACTAATTATAACTATAATAACTTATTATAACTATAATAACTAACTATAACTAAAATAACTAATTATAACTATAATAACTTATTATAACTATAATAACTAACTATAACTATAATAACTAACTATAATAACTAATTATAACTATAATAACTAACTATAACTATAATAACTTATTATAACTAATAACTAACTTTAACTATAATTAATTATAATTATATAACTTTATAACTATAATAACTAATTATAACTATAATAACTAACTATAACTATAATAACTTATTATAACTAATAACTAACTTTAACTATAATTAATTATAACTATATAACTAATTATAACTATAATAACTTATTATAACTATAATAACTTTCTCTGTTATAACTCACGCTTAACAGTGTTCTGACAAACACATCAGGTAATCACAAGATTAATGACAGACACACAGACACATACACACACAGACAGATACAGACAGACAGACAGACACACACACAGACAGACAGATACACAGACAGACAGATACACAGACATACAGACAGACAGACAGACAGATACAGACAGACAGATACACATACAGACAGACAGACAGACACACACACAGACAGACAGATACACAGACAGACACACAGACAGACAGATATACAGACAGACAGACAGATACACAGACAGACAGACAGATACACAGACAGACAGATACACAGACAGACAGACAGACAGACAGATACAGACAGACAGATACAGATAAGTGATTTAAATGGAAAGTTTTTCTCCGTCGGCCATTGAACAATCATTATTGATTATGTCTTATTGTAATATTAATATTTGATATGAATGATTTATTTAGAAAATAATTTGTGATTGGTCAATCAGTTATTGATTGATTGAGTCTCTACTTTGACGTCTTGAATGGTTTCTGTCAGTCAAACTCACCCCCCCTCCCCTCTCTCCCTGTAGATCACTGTGATTGGCTGATCAATATACAGGTGGAAGATGATCAGGATGTCATTGGACAAAGAGACTGTCCTCCCTCACCAGGTCAGCCCCGCCTTCCCCGCCACCATCAACCTATCGGAGCAGTCGCAGCTGGCTAAGACCCGCCCCCTCCGACCTAAAAATGGGCTCCATCCACCCGGCAACATCCAGCCCCCCCTCACCGCCTCCGCTCCGTCCACTCAGCGAATCGCCAAGAGGCGATACTCCATGGGCGTCGGCTTCAAGGGGCTGGCCAAGCGCCGTCGCCGCGCCAACAGTGACAGCCAATCAGAGCCTGTGCTGCCAAGTAACTTCCTGTTGGGCGGAAACATATTTGATCCGCTGAACCTCAACTCGCTATTGGACGAAGACGTCAACAAGTGAGACACGTGCTTCTGATTGATTTACCAATATATTGATTAATTGTTCCAGAACCTGCTGCTTTTAGCCCCAATTACCAGTAACCATCCCATTTTAATTAGTCCCAGTAACCAGTGACAGTCCCAGTAACCAGTCCCAGTAACCAGTCCCAGTAACCAGTCCCAGTAACAGTCCCAGTAACCAGTGACTGTCCCAGTAACCAGTCCCAGTAACCAGTAACAGTCCTAGTGACTAGTGACCGTCCCAGTAACCAGTCCCACTAACAGTCCAAGTAACCAGTAACCAGTCCCAGTAACAGTCCCAGTAACCAGTGACTGTCCCAGTAACCAGTCCCAGTAACCTGTCCCAGTAACCAGTCCCAGTAACCAGTCTCAGTAACCAGTGACAGTCCCAGTAACAGTCCCAGTAACCAGTCCCAGTAAAGTCCCAGTGACAGGCCCAGGAACCAGTCCCAGTAACAGTCCCAGTAACAGTCCCAGTAACCAGTCCCAGTAACCAGTCCCAGTAACAGTCCCAGTAACCAGTCCCAGTAACAGTCCCAGTAACCAGTCCCAGTAACCAGTCCCAGTAACCAGTCCCAGTAACCAGTCCCAGTAACCAGTCCCAGTAACCAGTCCCAGTAACCAGTCTCAGTAACCAGTGACAGTCCCAGTCCCAGTAACCAGTAACCAGTAACACAGTCACAGTAACCAGTAACCAGTAATATTAACATTAAACTCTGTCACTCCTCAGGGCGACCAATCAGGAGACACCAAAGTGCTCGCCCCTGCCATCACGGGGAGGAGACCCTGTAGAGATCCTTGTTCCTCGTGACATCACAGACCCCCTGAACCTGAAGGGAGGGGGCGGGGCCAGGAAGGGGGAGGAGGGAGTCCTGCTGTCCCCCCTGAAGACCAGGAGGAGACACAGGAACAGACACCATGGAGGGGGAGGAGGGGGAGGAGAGAGGGAGGTGATACCAGCTCGACTGTTTCCCTCCACAGCTGGACTCACAGGTGAGTCTGACACACCTGGATCAGTACGGACTCCTAGTGACTACCTGATCAATCGATTGATTGAAGAAAACTGCTAATAACCTCTTAATAACTTACCAATATGTTAATAAGTTAATAACTACTAATAACATGCTAATAACCTGTTAATAACATACTAACATGTTAATAACGTTCTAATAACTTGTTAATAACACACTAATAACCTGTCAATAACATGTTAATAACCTCTTAATAACTTACTAATATGTTAATAACATACTAACATGTTAATAACATTCTAATAACATGTTAATAACATACTAACAACATGTTAATAACATACTATTAACCTGTTGTTAACATACTAACATGCTAATAACGTTCTAATAACTTGTTAATAACACACTAATAACCTGTCAATAACATGTTAATAACCTCTTAATAACATACTAATATGTTAATAACATACTAATAACTTGTTAATAACCTGTTAATAACTGTTGTTGTGTTGCAGTTCCTCTGTTGACCAGAGAGGGCAGTGTTGTAGCGTCTCCTCTCCCCTGTGAACTCAACACGGCCATCACCTGTCGAGATGACATAGCCCCGCCCCCCATCCTCCCGAGGAGACACACCCACCCTCCGCCAGGCCACACCCACAAGCCTGGTAACCAGAGCGACAGTCGCCATCGGAGACGGCGCCGAACCACCTCGACGAGGTCGGCAGACACCAACAGCACGGCAACCACCGCTCAGCCAACCAAATTCCAGACGCCGCTGGTGGGAGGGGCTAAAGCTGGCAGGTGTGGAAGAGCGCAGCCCGACTCCAATCGGCCACCACAGAAGAAGAAGGACAAACACCGCTACCAGTACGGCAACCACAGCTGTTACTATGGCTACCACGGTTTCTATGGCGACAGGTGGGAGGGGCGGGTCGGGGCAGAGGAGGACCCGCGGCTCCGCCTCCTGGAAACCGATTGGTTCAAAGACAAGAGGGTGCTGGACGTGGGCTGCGGCGCCGGCCACGTCACGCTCGCCATCGCTCGGAGGTTTGACCCCGCCCACATCCTGGGGGTGGAGCTAGACGGGCGGCTGGTCCACGCCGCCAAGCAGAACGTCAGACACTTCCTGTCACATGACCTTGTGGCGGAGGGGAGGAGGGGAGGAGTGACGTCTTCTTCCTCTCCTCCGAGGAAGAGGGAAGAAGGGGAAGGAGGGGGAGGAGGGAGGGAGGAGGAGGTGAAGAAGGAGGTGATGGAGGAGTTCCAGCAGGCTCTGTCTCTCCTCTCCTTCCCCCTGTCTTTCAGAGTGAGTCGAGGTCCTCTCTCTGCTCCTCCTCTCCTCCTCCCTCCATCCTCCTCCTCCTCCTCTAGGTTCCCCAGTAACATCACCTTCATACAGGTGAGTCTCTCTCTCCACCTGCTCCGACCTCAGCCCTGTGACATCATCACCGCTGTGACTCCTCCCACAGGGCGACTACGTGTCAGAGCGGGAGGCGTGGCCCGGCCGGGGTCAGTATGATGTCATCGTGTGTCTGGGCGTGACCAAGTGGGTGCAGCTGCAGTCGGGTGACGGGGGCGTGGTCAGGCTGTTCAGACGAGCCTATCAGAGCCTGTCGCCGGGCGGATTACTCATCCTGCAGCCGCAGCCGTGGAGCAGCTACAGCCACAGCAAGAGGGCCTCGGTAACGCCTTAATATACTGACTAATATCTATATTAATATTTATATTATTTATATTTACACTGGATATATTTATATTTATTTAATATTTTTGAGTTTGTGTCTGTTAGGAGTCGACGTACCGTCACTACAGGACTGTGAGACTGAGACCTGAACAGTTCACCTGTTACCTGATGGACACTGTGGGCTTCACCTCATATAGACTGCTCACACACACAGGTACACTCACACACACACACACACACACACACACACAGGTACACTCACACACACACACACACACACACACACACACACACACACACACAGGTACACTACACACACAGGTACACTCCACACACTCCACCACACACAGGTACACACACACACACACACACACACACACACACACACACACAGGTACACTACACACACAGGTACACTCCACACACTCCACCCCGGTACCCCACACACCCCCACACACGCATAAAGTTAAACCTACATACATACCTACGGAAGCATATTGCATTCACTTGAAAATTAATTAATTTTTCTGATTTTCTGATTAATTTTTTTTTTCCTGTTTTTCGGACGTATTTTTTTTCTGAGTTTAGAGAGCATTTGAAACAATAGAAGCATTAATTCCTTTATTGAGAGCTCGATTTAACGGAAACAAACATAACCGGCTTGTTTAGTTCAATCAAGTTTTACTTTGATCTGGTTTCAGACTCTGGGAGATAGTCCCGTCTTTAAGTCATATAGATGGTATTATCATTAGTTTGTCGACTCTACACAGGAACCTGAGGACTGCTAGACATAGCAATATATACAGAGCAATATATACAGAGCAATATATACGGGAATATATACATAGCAATATATACATGGCAATATATACAGAGCAATATATACAGAGCAATATATACAGGGCAATATATACAGAGCAATATATACAGAGCAATATATACAGAGCAATATATACAGAGCAATATATATACAGAGCAATATATACAGAGCAATATATACAGGGCAATATATACAGGGCAATATATACAGAGCAATATATACAGAGCAATATATACAGAGCAATATATACAGGGCAATATATACAGAGCAATATATACAGAGCAATATATACATGGCAATATATACAGAGCAATATATATACAGAGCAATATATACATAGCAATATATACAGGGCAATATATACAGAGCAATATATACAGAGCAATATATACATGGCAATATATACAGGGCAATATATACAGGGCAATATATACAGAGCAATATATACATGGCAATATATACACATGGCAATATATACATGGCAAAATGGACCCGGTACAGTAGATAGTTGAAGATGGGGCATTGTGTGCGGTCCATGGGAGTCACTGCAGGTTGGAGGTTCTCGCAGGAGTTCGAAGTATCTCGATAATTCAGAAAAATGATTACTCTGAAAAAAACAGGAAGAATTATTAAAAAAAAACAAACCAAATAATAAATTACAAAAAACAGATTTTTTTTTCAAGTTAATGCAATACACTTCCGTACATACCTTCAATACCATACAATGTGCAATATTCCATACCATAATGGGCAATATATATAAATATATTTAACACTGTATATAGCACCGTGTTTATTTTACAAATGTACACCCTCCTCAGGACTGTGAGCCTGACCTCCCTCTGTTGTACTATTACTGTATGTCCTGTGTTTATATTGTATATATTTCTTATTCTTTACACTGCTGCTCTTTAATGTCATCGTACATTGTACAGTGACAATAAAGCTATTCTACTCTATTCTACTCTATTCTATTCTATTCTACTCTACTCTATTCTATTCTACTCTATTCTATTCTACTCTATTCTATTCTATTCTATTCTACTCTATTCTATTCTACTCTATTCTATTCTACTCTATTCTATTCTATTCTACTCTATTCTATTCTATTCTACTCTATTCTACTCTATTCTACTCTATTCTACTCTATTCTATTCTACCTTTCTATTCTATTCTACTCTATTCTATTCTACTCTATTCTACTCTTTCCTATTCTTTCCTCTTTCTACTTTTCCTCTATTCTATTCTACTCTTTTTTCTACTCTTTCTCTATTCTACTCTTTCTATTCTACTCTATTCTACTCTTTCTACTCTATTCTATTCTACTCTATTCTACTCTACTCTATTCTATTCTATTCTATTCTATTCTACTCTATTCTATTCTACTCTATTCTATTCTACTCTATTCTATTCTATTCTATTCTATTACTGTTTGTAAACAGTGTGTGCTCCGTGGCTTCACACAGATATTCCTGGAAATACACACACACACACACACACACACACACACACACACACTGATAATACTCTGTGTGTGTTTCCAGGTAACCAGCGGCCGATCTACCTGTTCCATAAAGGCCACGCCCAGAGGAAGTGAGGTCACCAGGACAGGATGTGACGCCTCTCTCTCTGCAGCACGCGGTCCTCCCGTTTCCACGGCAACAGGCTTGGACGGACCGACAGCCGGAGCTGGCAGCTAATTGGTCGAGCTGGTTTAATGACATCACAGAGGAGGACGGACTCTGATTGGACAGCAGAGTTTCTGTGGATGTGATTGGATGACATAAACTCAAGGAGCCAAAGCAAAGGATTGTGGGTCACATTGAGTGACCTCAGGTCCTGGACTGTGATTGGACACTGACAGGAAGTGACACGTCATTCGCTGTTTGTTTGTTTTTGTGAAAATAAAGAGAATTGATCGACAGCTGATTTATTGATCACTGATATTTCTCATTTAAAACGTCTCAGGAAGTAGTTATTGATTATGGAGGTTAATCAATAGTTTCAGGTCGATGTCAAAACTTTATTAGGAAATAGTTCCAATCAATCCCAGGAATTGATTATTGGCTGTTAATTGTTGATTGATTGGAATTAAAAGTGGATGTGTGACAGAATCATACAATAAACAAACAATAAACAAACAAACAGTAAACAATAAACAAACAGTACACAATAAACAAACAGTAAACAATAACTAACAGTAAACAATAAACAAACAAACAGTAAACAATAAACAAACAGTAAACAATAACTAACAGTAAACAATAAACAAACAAACAATAAACAGTAAACAATAAACAAACAATAAATAAACAATAAACAAACAGTAAACAATAAACAAACAGTAACAATAAACAAACAGTAAATAAACAAACCGTAAACAATAAACAGTAAACGATAACTAACAGTAAACAATAAACAAACAGTAAACAAACAGTAAACAATAAACAAACAGTAAATAAACAAACCGTAAAATAAACAGTAAACAATAACTAACAGTAAACAATAAACAAACAAACAATAAACAAACAGTAAACAATAAACAAACAATAAACAAACAGTAAACAAACAGTAAACAATAAACAAACAGTAAACAATAACTAACAGAGAAACACTGAACGACAGAAACTTTATTGACAACCATTAACTCTTAATTACTCTTTAATATTACTGACAACAGGAAGTGGACCAAAGGGGGCGGGGCTAAGGAAGGGTTAATTGATGGTTACTCATATGTCATCAGGGGGCGTGGCCTCTGTCA